TTATCATTATATGTATTTATTTCAGCTTGGTCGGCCTTGGATGTTTGTCCCTTTCTCGGAACCTGGGGTCATCCATGTTCAACGCATCGTGTAGATCGCGTAGCGCTGGGTTGTTGTGCGATCTGATTATATCGAACACGCTTTCTGCGTGTTCTATCATATACACCTCCATATATTGCGTGTCCAGGTCTAAGTCTCTGTATATATATCTATTTGGGATATACTACGGCGCGTTTACGGCGGCCCTTACGCTCGCGTTCATAAACGACTGTATCTGCTTCCTGTATGTCTGTGCACACTGGCCCCAGGCAGTGCAGGCATACAGTATTATGGGCATGAGGATGGTTTTGATCATTAGCAACTTCACTTTCAACCCCATGTTGCTTCTGCGTCCTATGATAGGTGCCAGTCGTTGTCTGGCGTGTCTAGCCATTCCAATTCTCTGCCATACATGAGACTGAAATGTTAATTTCTTGTCTAGGATGACCCCCAAGTATGTTGCTTTGCTGGTCCACGGAATCTCTTGTCCGTTGAAGGTGACGTTTCCTTCCGGTTGTACCAACCTGCGGGTGAACAGTATCGCCTGACTCTTGTCAGGGTTTATACTGATCTTCCACAGATTGGCCCACTCCTCTAATCTGTCTGCCTGTTGCTGCAAGTATCTTGTAACATGCGCTTGGCTTGTGATACTGCCATCTCTGGTCGAGAAGCCGGATTATATATTGGCAACGACCGTGCTAGATTTCTCTAGTTATTTCGGTAGTGGCCTAGACTGTTCGCGGCGACTTGTCGAGTTCATTCCTTTCGCGATGAATCATGTGTTTATTTGCTGGCTGAGATATCGGTCAGGGCCGGCTTCAGATTCGTTACATTATATTTGAAACTTTTTTCTATCAACACTTTCAGTGTTTGTGAACTGAACCTTCGATAAATTTATGAACCTGTCATAAAATTTATAATTCGTGAATTTTTTTCTGTCGAAGTAGAAACATGGTTTCTGAAATGTACAAGATTGAAAAACACACAAAATAGAGGCTTCAAAACTAATTATGTGGTATTAGTGTGTTTAGATCGTCTCATTGCTCATGAGACCAACATTTAAAATTAACATATACTGTGGGCGTGAACATATTATATCACAATTAACCACACTTTTTTCCAGTTTCCCAGTGTTATTTTCATGATTAATTTTCAGTACAAATCAAATCACTCAACAGTCCACTCCAACCACTCAAAATCAAGTGACCTCAGATGGAGTAACAATTGTTAAAGTAGGAGGGATTCATACGGTTACACCCAACCCTTCAGGCGGATATACACGTAGAGCCAAACTTGGAGATTCTCGGAGTACAGGTAGACTACATACCGCCTCAAGTATTAATACTCACAGAAGCATGACAAGGCTCAACATTGCGGGAGGCTCTGTAGGTGGGTTGCACAAAAGTATGACACGATTGAGCTCTTCTCAACAAATCAATGCAGTACCTACCCCACCCTTATCCAATAATATTACTGTTACTGCTGGAAACAAGTGGCCAGGGTCGAATGGTCGGGTATCAAGTGGCGGTGTGACTGTAACAACTATTTCGCCACCTAAAATACAAAGACCTCTGAGTCAGGGACCACTAGTTCTTCTCTCAAATCACACCAGTCAGGTAAATATTAAAAAAAAACACATTTTTCAATATTTATAATGATTGTACCAGTAAGTCTACTTCAAAAATTTAGGTTGCTGCCTCAACATCTTCCTCACATCACACTACAAATGCAGTTACTGTCAGTTCTGGATATACCGGACCTATTTCCAGTGGACAAGTTTCTATATTAACAGGCGAAGTCAACAGTTCAATAACCCAAACTATACCAATTGGAAATAATATTGTACATACACCTCCGCCCATGCCGGAAAGTCACAGTGCTACAAATACTCCACTTGTCGGCAATAGTGAGTTTTATATCAGAATTGCTACAAACAAAGGCCTACAAGAATCTCGTCGCCTGGCTCTTCAGAGAAATCTTAATGACTTTTTCTGCAGAATAAAAATCGACTCGAGTCGAGTTTGATTACTTACCCCCCAGAAAGGGATCCCATATCTTAGATGTAATTCTACTAATGAATAATAGACAGTTTTAGCTGCAGTTAGCCCTAGTTCGTTGGAAGTTATTTTCACAGCATAACATCCAGATGAAAGTTTTTTGTTAAGATATAGTATGTGGTCCTCAAATTTCAACTTATTATCAATTGATAACCCAAGAAATTTGTTGCATGACGTGTTCTCAATCACATTCGAATTCGAAGCTAGAGGAATATTATCAAGAATTCAATAAAAGGATAAAACTTTGGTTTTTGAGACATTGAAAGCTAATAAATTTGCCTTAGACCAATCTGAAAGTTTGGAAATATCAGGGTAAATGGCATTATATAGATCATTTGTGTTGGTATTGCGCCATAATAGTGTAGTGTCGTCGGCGAATAAAGTAAATTTATCCTCTATATCAATGGTAGTCAAGTCATTGATATAGAGTAGAAATAGGGTAGGTCCGAGTACTGAGCCTTGTGGTACTCCGTTAGATATGTCAGAAACATCAGATACTGTTGTATATTTAATCCTTTGACTTCTCTTCTTCGATTGACGACTTGTTTATTTTGTGGAGATTCATGTTCACTGAGGATACACTACAAAAACACACTTTTGTCTATTTTCCACCATATTTCTTTATTGTTGACCGGTTTCCGCTATTACACCATTTTCAAAACTAACTGATTCAGTTCAGTTCAGTAGTTAGTTTTGAAAATGGTATAATAGCCGAAACCTAACTGGTTCAGTTCAGTAGTTAGTTTTGAAAATGGTGTAATAGCCGAAACCGGTCAACAATAAAGAAATATAGTGAAAAATAGACAAAAGTGTATTTTTGTAGTGTATCCTTTGACTTCTACCCAATAGATAAGATGCAAACCATTTATGATTAATACCTTCAATACCATAGAGATAAAGTTTCCTGGTACTCCGTTAGATATGACAGAAACATCAGATACTGTTGTATATTTAATCCTTTGACTTCTACCCGATAGATAAGATGCAAACCATTTATGAGTAATACCTTCAATACCATAGAGATAAAGTTTCCTGAGCAGAATTTGGTGATTAACACAGTCAAATGCTTTAGAGAAATCGCAAAAGACTGCTGCTGTAATCTCCCGTTTATTAATGTTACTATACACTTCATATAAAAAATTAAAATATGTTACCATGAGTATTTTTCTTTAACTGAAATCCAAATTATTTGGAGCTTATTATATTACCTAAGTTCAAATGTTCTGTCAAAATAAAGGGAGACAATTCAAATCTAATTGATCATTGGGCAATAATCCCGAATTTTTACATCTTTTGACTTCTAAACATTTGAAGAGGTTGAGTTTTGAACCTTCCTCTTCCAGATGCAATATATCATAATCGTGCTTCCATTTTGACTACTGTATGAGTAAATAATTTGAGTATTATTTTGTATATCTGCCGTTTTTTTTTTCAGTTATATACAATTTATACACTCTTTCAATTCTCACTTTTTTAATTTCAGGTAATGTGAATATAAGCGGTCCCACTACTGTAGTATCACGTCGGAATAATAACACTAGTGTCACCTTAATCAATCAGAATTCAGTAGCAAATCAAAGAATGAGTGTTTTTGAGCCATATCCCATGCGAGATACGATACAGCATTTTTGCGAAAAGCATCTAGATAAAATCAAAAACTATATGGAGAAAGTGTCGTTGAGAATACCATCGCCAGCTAAATGTACGATAGAGGAAAAGAGACAAAAAAAATCGGCCAAGTTACATTTTGCGTGCCAAGCTAGAGGACAACATTGCCTGTATTCAAAAACATTTTTTACAATGAGAACCAGAAATCCCAGAATTTGGATACATTTGATGTTTATTTCTTTGCAGGTACGTAATAATCTTATATAGGGTCTTCCAACAGGGACTTCCAAACCTTGACGATTGATAACGGCCATCTTATTGAAGCTACATCTGTCAAATTAGTTGTCATTTATTCAGTCTGTTTTGCCAAATCACCATGAATGGATATAACATTCAACATTACGTGCAAATAATTAAATCATTTTACCATAATCCTCCAAGCGAGAGGACTATTCGCAAAGTGGTAAATAAATGTGAGTCCAATGGTTCAGTGAACAATTGACCAACACCTGTACGTCAACGAAACGCAAGATCTGCCGAAAACATCACTGCTGCCTGTGAGATTGTGTAGGAGAATCCGAGGCAGTCGATTTCGCGTCGCTCACAAGAACTCGGCCTTTCGTAGACCATAACTTGGCAAATTCTGCGTCGTGACTTGGGCCTACACCTGTACAAAATTCAACTGACGTGGGGCATGAGTTGTGTGGCTCGTAGCCACACAGCTCGTGCACGAGCGATTTGAGGGCGTGGAGGTGATGTTGAACTGGCCATAGAGGTCGTGGGATTTGGCCCCGTTAGACTTTTTCTTGTAGGGTTTTCTTGAGTCCCAGGTGTATGCAAATACACAAACCAAGGCCAACATAACCCATGCTATCGGTCAAATTCAGACTGATTTATGCGCTAGAGTCGTGGAAAATTGGACGTTTCGGATGCGCTTCACCTAGTGAAGCCGTGGCGAACATTTGAACGATGATATAGTCCACACATAATGGCATCAATAGGTCTTTCAAATAAAACCTAAATTTGCCAGTTTTCAGGATATGAATCACACTATTTCCCAAAATACGGCTAAGTACGGTCGTCGCGCTGTACCCTGTATAGCATTTTGGAAAAATATTTCTAATCCTGTCATTTTGTAAGCATTATAGGGAGTTACCTATTGGTAAAAAAGTACTGTACTGTACAAGTACTGTTCAAGTTTAGTGATTGAAATACCTGTAGATACTCTCTAATTATATTCTAAAATAAATAGGAAACCTTCTTTCAAAATTGAAATTTCTGAAACAGATTCTTTATTTTTGGATTCTTTATTTTTCTTCGATACAATCTCAGATGAGTTGTGGAATTTTTAGCTGCGATGGTGTAAAAAAAACATTTGAAAATTTTAAATCATTCAAATAAGATTTTTGAAAATGATATATAATATTGTTTGAAGAAAGTAAAAAAAGTTAACAAAAGTAACTGAAAAAATACAGGTCAGGTATGTCAACAGAAACGGCTCTATGTCGGGTAACAGAAAAAGTAGAATATACTTACAAAAACAAGGAAGTACTTTTAGCTGCTTTCTTGGACATTGAGGGCGCATTTGATAATAAGTCATTAGAATCAATCATGCAGGCGTCGAGGAGAAGAGGGATCGACAAGACAAGCTATAGGTGGATAGACTGCATGCTTAGGGGAAGATTGGTATATACAACCATTATGGGGGAAACAGTCGTGGCACGGGTAGCAAGGGGCTGTCCTCAGGGGGGGGTTCTATCCCCTCTGTTATGGAACCTTGTAATGGACGAGCTACTATGTCTCCTGGACCATAATGGGTATAAAGCACTGGGCTATGCAGACGACTTAGTCATCTTAGTCCAGGGTAAATACAATAATGTAGTGAAGGGATGCATGCAGCAGGCCCTGAACATTATAACAAGATCGACCGAAAAAGAAGGGCTTAACATAAGCCCATCCAAATCGACCATAGTAGCATTCACCAAGAGGACTAAAACGAAGGGTCTCGGACCTCTAAACTTCGAGGTGTAGAAATACAAGTGTCGGGGGAAGTTAAATATCTGGGAGTAATCCTAGATTCCAAACTGACCTGGAACCAATACTTGGACAGGATAAAGAGGAAAGCGGAGATAGCACCGATGCTCGCCAGACGCACCTATGGAAAAACATGGGGGCTAAAACCAGACATGGTATATTGGCTGTACACGATGGTGGTTAAACCCATGATAACATACTCATCTCTGGTCTGGTGGCCAAAGATGAAGCAGGCGACCGCCATCAACAAACTAGGCAAGGTGCAAAGACTTGCATGTTTGGGAATGACGGGAGCAATGAGAACTACCCCAACAGCTGCATTGGAGACACTCCTGAATCTACCTCCTTTACACTTTGTGATAATGGGGGACGCCAGGATGGGCCAATTCATATTAAATATGTGCACGGACCACATGACACCGAAGTACACCTTTAACACAAACTTCACGCCCAAAATCATAGGCCGTGAAGAGTGGAAAACCATTAGTCATCCCGAAAACATGTTTGGAAAAAACACCTGGTATGCAGATGGATCGAAGACCAAACATGGAACGGGAGCTGGAATATACCGAGCGGATAGAAATCTTAACTACAGCTATCCGCTAGGACTATACACATCCTAGTAGTCTCCCTCTGATATACATTTATGCCAGCTGTTTTTCCAAACTTTGAAGCAGTTCTGATATGCACATTTTGGTATGTCCTCAAGTTCTTTCTGCGATTCGGTTTTTATCTCCTCAATCGTCGCCAAACGCCGAACTTTCATGGATTTCTTCAATCTTGGGAAACGGGAAAACGTCGCAGGGAGCCAAATCTGGTGAATACGGTGGCTGAGGCATGATTACCGTACGACCATGTGGCAAGAACTTCTGATGCACTACGCCTACGGTTATCGAAAAAAACTGAGCAAAACCTCAACATATGATCGAACATGGTGTACTTTTTGGTCTTCGATCTCCTGGACTCTTCCATTGGGTCAGTTGGATTTTGGTTTAGGTGTCATAACCATATGTCCTTTTTTTGGTCAAAACTCAGAAATTCTGGAACGAACTTCGCTGCCACACGTTTCATGCTCAAAATTCACTAAAAAATTGCAAGGCATGAGCCAATCGATATGCCGACATCCCCAGCAACAATTTTCTTCACTTTCTCAACATTTTCATCAGTTGTTGATGTGCTGGAGCGTCTATGGTGAGCGTCGCCATTCACAAGCTCTCGACCTTTCATGTAGAGCTTGTAGCACTTGTAACCTAGTTTCTTACTCAGTACAATCACTATATGCCACTGTCAACATTTTAAGTGTTTTTGAACAATTAATTCCGTTTTTTACACAAAATTCAATGCAAATTCTTTGACCTATTTTTTTCGAGAGCAGAAAATCGTCGAACACTCAAAACACTTTTATGCCTCTCACCAACAAACTAAACATGCTAAACCCACCCCATGCCCTCTCCCGTGTTGAGTGCCCTGAGTTGAAATCTTTCCCACACGGTTACTGTGTGCAGAGCATCCCATCTCGTCCATCCATCCCTGCTCCTCTGGAGCGGACCTCAACTTACTGATGGGCACTTCAGCAAGATTGACATCTGACCCTCTTTGGTCGAAAGTCAGCCTATAGGTGCTTTAACTTTCTGCTAAACAGCTGGAACTATGAGAATATCGTCGGCTTAATAGGCACAATGCGTAACTCCACCTTTTGGAGAAAACAGAGTTTTAGTGACATCTAATGAAAGATATTACTATCTATGATCCAGAAAAAAACCGTATCTCCAAAATACAGGGTTAATTTACTATTTTCAAAGAAGAAAACTTCGTATCTCCTCTATCGATAATAACAATCTGCAAAATGCGTATGTCCATTAATTTTCATAACTTTCAGGTTGCACGTGTGCATGTATGTCGTTCTCGAGTGATTTGACCGTGAAAATAAAGTTTTAAATTTTGGAAAATCATTTTAAGAGGTGAGTTCAGAGTCTAATAATTAGAAATAATACTTCAATAAAGTGTAGAAGTTTTGGTAGTCGTAGGAAAGATATCAAGCATTGAATGGAGTTACGCAGTTTAGAGAATAGTTCAAATTCGTACTGAGAAGACGAAGCTTTCAAAAAAATAGAAAATTCTGTCGAGGATGAGGGCCCAAGACGAAAACGCTCTACTAAATATGAAATGAACACAAATAAATGGCAGGAAAATATTAATCGAGTGAATAGAGAAAAAGGAAAACAATACGTTGGAAAACGAAAAGAAAATGGAAAGCGGAGATACAATATTTTAAAAGAGCCAAAAACGATAAAACAAGCATGCTACTGTGAGTTGAGTGCCAGTAAAAAATCTGCTCTGAAATGTCGAATGCTACATCAAATGGAGAGAGAAAATATTTTCATAGAATTTTTTCAATATACCTGGGCAGAAATGAAGTTATTTGTTCGAAACCATGTAACCGTACATCCTACTATTAGGAAAAGAGGAAGTAAGGATGTTTCAAGAAGATGATACAATCAATTTTATTTGGGCAAAGGGAAACTAAGGGTATGCAAGACGATGTTTCTCAATACCATAGGAACACAAGAGTGGGTGATCAAGAAAGGGACAAAAATTGATGTGTTGAAGACCATAGACAGAAATATAAATTCTTCGACAAATTCAACTGAAATTCTCAATACCAAACTTTCAACGCTGCATGCTTTCTTTGAGTCTCTACCGAAGTTGGAATCACATTATTGTAGAGCTTCCACATCAAAGCTGTATCTAGAACCAGTTTGGGACTCTAAAGCTCATTTGTTCAAGTTCTATAAAATTGATTACTGCAAGACACACAATGAAGTTCCCGTCTCGATTGCAACAAAAATACAAACCTAAGAAGGATCTCTGTGATACGTGTGTAGCTTTTGAAACTAACAACTTACCAGAAGAAAGAATAGAATAGAACAGAATATCCTTTATTCGCCATAAAAAAATACAATAGTATTATAAGGTTTTGTCAAATATCATATACCATAAGAATATCATAAAAACACTAAATGAATAAATAAAAAATAAACAAATAAGGAAATGAGATGTGAACAATTTCAATATAAATATCACTGTCTACGTATATTGTAAATTCAAAATATTAGTTGGTGTTGAAGTCAAATGATAAAAATTCGTCGATACTATAAAAAGCGTTTTCCAGGCAGATATTCTTCATATAATTTGTAAACGAGGCTGTATTTAAGTTTTTTATATNCTGTTATTAAACTCTCCTTTTGTAATATTCAGTTTTTGTTTGTATTCTTTTTGATATTCTTTTTTTAGATTTTTTATATGCATATCATTAGAAATTTGGCATAGTTCTGATACGAGCTGTAATTGATTTTTCATGGTTTGGAGCTCATTTGTGTACCAGTATTTTTTACTGCTTTGTTTGTTTTTATTTTTTTGTTTGAGAGGAAAACAAGAAAGATACTATCATCACATCAAGCTGAAGGATGAAGCAAGAAATGAGAAAAACAAGGATAAAGAATCAGCAACGGAGGTATTTACTATGGATCTGCAATCAGTACTCCTATGTCCTAAATCTTACGTGTCTTCTCTGTACTATAAGACAAAACTGATTGTGCATAACTTTACCCTATATGATCTTGAGCGTAATCAAGGCTACTGCTATCTTTGGAACGAATCAGAGGGTGGATTAACTAGCAATGAGTTCACAACTATCATCGACCATTTTTTTGAGAGAATATCTACAACAATATTACACAGAGGATCAACACTCTGGTATTGAGATAATTTCGTGGAGCGACGGATGCGGTTATCATAACCGTAATGCGACATTATCGAATGGTCTATTTAATTTCGCTTTGGATACCGGTGTCACCATAATGCAGAAGTACCTACAAAAAGGCCACACACAAATGGAGGTGTCATTGAAAGGAGAATTCAAAACAAAAAAATTAATATACCAGCAGATTATGTATACGTTTGCAAAACAGCGTGCCAAAAAAGTCCGTTCAAAGTCAAATACTTGGGCCACACGTTTTTCAAGAAATACGATGGACTAAACTATTTTAAATCGATCCGACCTGGTAGAGGCACGGGTGCACCAATGGTAAATGACGTCAAAGCTTTCAAGTATTCAAGAGAAGGAGTTTTTTGTAAGCTTCGTCACTCAGTAGCAGAATGGCAAGCACTACCAATAAGACTGACTTTGCGAACCATCCAAGCAACTGAAAATCATAATTTGTCTCACCTCCATAAAAATAGACTAAAAACAAAAATATGGAGAGTGGCTATCATGATTTCTACGATAATTTACCCCATGACTGAGCATTTAGTTTTAGAATAGAACAATTTAGGTTTAATATATTTTTTACTGAATGAAAATATTTTTCAGTTTTCAAGAAAATGCTTTTTCACTGTCTAAATAAAGAGTTGAAAAAGAAATAACCCGCTTTAATTCATAAGGAAAAATGCTTATATCCGTTTATTAGGTCATAATTTAACTCCATTTTCTTGAAAAATACGGAAATCAGCTCAAAGAAAGTGCTTCTTCGATTGACGACTTGTTTATTTTGTGGAAATTCATGTTCACTGAGGATGCACTACAAAAACACACTTTTGTCTATTTTCCACTATATTTCTTTATTGTTGACCGGTTTCGGCTATTACACCATTTTCAAAACTAACTGATTACATTTAAATCCGAGTAATTTATACCTATATTATTCTAGCATAAATGATTTGATATACCTGATATATCTGATATACCTGATATCCGGTACCTGCGNCACTTTTTTTTAAACTCAGTATATTCCATTAGAAAACGGTTTTTTGTGTGCGTAACTCCATTTCAGAAATGGAGTTACGCATTATGCCGATTAAGCCGACGATATGTTCAAGACGAGTGTACCACCAGAAAAAAATAAAATCCCTAATCAAATGTACATAGCCTGCGAAATTTGAACTTTTCCCTTATTTTTTGAATGGTCCACGTATAAAAACACATTTTGTATGAACTAACTTGGTTAGTTCAGCGCTACTTTATTGGAATGTGACCCCGGCTTTATTCCATTGCGAACTGGATTTTTAGGTTAAAGTATATGATAGAAATTCGTCGTTAAATCCATTGGTGGCGAACAACGGGCCTTAGAGCAAGCCGCTGTGAAACCATTGTTGGATGTGCCACGTTGATGATTGGTGGTAGCATGGTGAAGAGAAACTAAGCAAATTTCTATCGTATCTAAACTCCCTCAACACAAAAAACCAATTCACAATGGAACGACCCAATGTTGATCAACGCTAAATCATGTGAGAATCTTGTTAAATGAGTTTGCTCATTTTTGAATAAGTTGAGGTAACCTGTCAGTTTCATAATTCTCAGGTCAGAGTGGAAATTCTTCAAATATGTCGAATCTCTCAAAATCCGTTTTGACTGTCAAAAGTTGAAACTTTTTCGAGCTGAGAATTAATAATTTTTATTTTTAAACGTGCGATTCCTAGTCTGAAATGTATGTATGTATATATGTATATGTTCTCATTTTCAATCGTAGGTGATACTCAACCAGTGATAGAAGGCCAGTTGAAGGAGAAAAAAGGTCGATGGAGACTATTCAGAAGATGGAGGACAAGATATTTCACTCTGTCTGGAGCACATTTATCGTGTAGAGGCTCAGTAAGTAATAAAATTGTTAAAATTACTATGATGTCCTAGAAAATGAAAAAAAAAATCGCTAACTGTAGCCCGCGAGATTTGAACATTCACCTTTTTTTTTTTAACAGAACAGATTTTATTGTGGCGACTTTATTTATATATTACTCTTACCTCAAAAGTTACAAACAGGATAGCCCGATTGGACATCTTTACAATCATTTAAAACATTTTATTCCTGTTGTGTTGCTTGTACCACTACGAAAAAGCTAATGTGATAACGAAACATTTGATATATTCTCTGAACATGTTTGTGGAGATCAAATCGTAAGGTGTAGTTTATGGAATTACTATGGATCTTCATCAAGTAACGGCCGAATCAATCAGAAAAATTAATTATATTCTAAAATAAATAGGAAACCTTCTTTCAAAATTGAAATTTCTGAAACAGATTCTTTATTTTTGGATTCTTTATTTTTCTTCGATACAATCTCAGATGAGTTGTGGAATTTTTAGCTGCGATGGTGTAAAAAAAACATTTGAAAATTTTAAATCATTCAAATAAGATTTTTGAAAATGATATATAATATTGTTTGAAGAAAGTAAAAAAAGTTAACAAAAGTAACTGAAAAAATACAGGTCAGGTATGTCAACAGAAACGGCTCTATGTCGGGTAACAGAAAAAGTAGAATATACTTACAAAAACAAGGAAGTACTTTTAGCTGCTTTCTTGGACATTGAGGGCGCATTTGATATTAAGTCGTTAGAATCAATCATGCAGGCGTCGAGGAGAAGAGGGATCGACAAGACAAGCTATAGGTGGATAGACTGCATGCTTAGGGAA